TTGCCAATAGGCAGGTTAAGTTCGTAAATGGGCCATGTAGGTCCAAGTTATCATATAGCCCCCATATAACTGTACCTCCCGATATTCAGTATTTTGATGATTTTAGCGACATTATTCACCGGGATTGTTTCAAATTTGGCATTTGAAGTAATGAATACTTCAGCCCATGCCAGAAAATTGTCTGTGCAGGTCCACGTTTTCGAATAGCCCCCATATAACGGTACCCCCCCCCCCATATTCGGTATTTTAATGATTTTAACTACATTATAAACAGATTTTTCTTCAAGTTTCACATTTAAATTATTGTAATAACTTATGACAAAATATGCCTATGCAGGCCCACGTCGTCGTATACGAACTCGGTATTCTTAAGATTTTAACAGAATTTTTAACGGATTTTATTTTTTGGAAATTGTCAAATTTGTACCAAATGGTGGAGGGTATTAAAAGTTCGGCCCGTCCGAACTTACAGCTTTTTTACTTGTTATAATTTATAATTTCTTATTCTCCAAGCAATTATTCTCCAAGCAAATTATAATTATCACTTATAATTATGTCTGTAAAACTTTGTGTATTTTTATACCCTCCACCATACTATGGAGGGTATATTAACTTTGTCATTCCGTTTGTACTCCTCGAAATACTCATGTCAGACCCAACAAAGTATTTATATTCTTGATCAGCGTAAAATTCAGCGTAAGATTTAGCGATGTCCGTCTGTTTGTCTGTCTGTCTGTTGTAATCACGCTCTCTATCGAACGAATTGAGATACAATGCTAAAATTTTGCACACATGTTTATTTTGCCAGTAGGCAGGTTAAGTTCGTAAATGGGCCATGTAGGTCCACGTTTTCATATAGCCCCCATATAACGGTACCTCCCGATATTCGGTATTTTCAAATTTAGTATTTGAAGTTCGAAATGGGTACTACAGCCTAAGACAGAAAATTGTCTGTGCAGGTCCACCTCTTCGTATAGCCCCATATAACGGTACCTCCCGATATTCGGTATTTCGATGATTTTAGCGACATTATTCACCGGAATAGTTTCAAATTTAGTATTTGAAGTTCGAAATGGGTACTACAGCCTAAGACAGAAATTTGTCTGTGCAGGTCCACGTCTTCGTATAGCCCCCATATAACGGTACATCCCGATATTTGGTATTTTGATGATTTTAGCGACATTATTAATCGGAATTGTTCAAAATTTGGTATTTGAAGTTCGCAATGGATACTACAGTCCATACAGAAAATTGTCTGTGCAGATCCACGTCTTCGTATAGCCCCCTAATAACGGTACCTCCCTATATTCGGTATTTTGGTGATTTTAGCGACTTTATTCACAAATTTTTTTTCAAATTACGCATTTAGAGTTCGTAATGGGAACTCCAGTCTGTGACAGAAAATTGTCTATGCAAGTCCAGGTCTTCGTATAGGCCCTATATACCAGTACCTTCCTATATTCGGTATTTTGACGAGTTTAGGTACAATAGTCACCGAAATTGTTTGAAATGTCGTCGAATTTGGTAATGACTTATGACAAATAATGACTGTGTGGGTCCACGTCGTATAGGCACCAATATGACGGCAATATTCGGTATTTTTAAAATTTTACCAACGTTTTTTCAGGATTTTATTTCCAAATGGTGGAGGGTATTCATATTTCGGCCCGGCCGAACTTAGTGCTTTTTAACTTGTTATTCATAAAGTCTTTTACGTTGCGTTACGTAATTGATGATGACAGCACAACTTTTCTGATCACAGTTGCTTATCCTTATGGAAATTACAACAGATAGATCGATAAGACACAACAATCAACAAATGCCAATCAACTTGTTTATTTATTACAAATGACGAATGTGAAAAATGTAACATAAAACAAAATAAGTACATTAGCAAGTAAGAGTACAATAAAGATACACAAATTTCTCTTTCGTTCTCAATTCACTTAAATTATTTTCTCAATGTTGCTAAATATACCTCTGAAAAATTAATCTCGAAATTAAACAAATGACAGATTTAAATGCGAAAAAGCAGTAAAAAATACAACAGCTGGCTCTGTCTGAACTGACAGTTCATTTGTAAACAAAAGAATTGTAAATAAACAAAGATAATAACATTCAGAGTTTCAATTTGTTTGTATTTCAATTTATTTAATTTAGTATTAACAAGTAAAAAAGCTGTAAGTTACTTTTAACACCCTCCACCATTTGGCACAAATTTGACAATTTCCAAAAAAAAAAAAAAAAAAAAAAAAAAAAAATAAAATCCGTAAAAAATTCTGTTAAAATCTTAAAAATACCGAATGCCTATACGACGACGTGGACCTGCTTAGGCAACTTTTGTCATAAGTTATTACAATATTTAAATGCGAAACTTGAAGGAAAATCTGTTTATAATGTAGTTAAAATCATCAAAATACCGAATATAGGGGGTACTGTTATATGGGGCTATACGAAGACGTGGACCTGCACAGACTATTTTCTGGCATGGGATGAAGTATCTATTACGAACTTCACATGTGAAATTTGAAACAATTCTGGTAAATCATGTCGCTAAAATCATCAAAATACCGAATATCGAGGGGTACGGTATATGGGGGCTATACGAAGACATGGACCTACATGGCTCATTTTCTATTTTATGCTGCACTATCTTTTACGAACTTCAAATACCAAATTTGGAACGATTCTGTTAAATAATGTCGCTAAAATCATCCAAAATACCGAATATCGGGAGGTACCGTTATATGGGGCTATATGAAGATGGTGGAGGGTATAAAAAACAAGTAAAACAAGTAAAAAAGCTGTAAGTTCGGCCCGACCGAACTTTTAATACCCTCCACCATTTGGTACAAATTTGGCGATTCCCAAAAAAAAAAAAAAAAAAAATAAATAAATAATAAATAAATAAAATCCGTGAAAAATTCTGTTAAAATCTTAAAAATACCGAATGCCTATACGACGACGTGGACCTTCATAGGCAACTTTTGTCATAAGTTATTACAATATTTACATGCGAAACTTGAAGAAAAATCTGTTTATGATGTAGCTAAAATCATCAAAATGCCGAATATAGGTGGTACTATTATGTGGGGCTATACGAAGACATGGACCTGCACAGACAATTTTATGGCATGGGCTGAACTATCCATTACGAACTTCACATGCGAAATTTGAAACACTCCCCGTAAATAATGTCGCTCTAATCATCAACCTACATGGCCCATTTTCTGTTTTATGCTGCAGTATCTATTACGAATTTCAAATACCAAATTTGGAACGATTCCGGTAAATCATGTCGCTAAAATCATCAAAATACCGAATATCGGGGGTACCGTTATATGGGGACTATATGAAGACGTGGACCTACATGAGTCATTTTTTGAATTAGGATGTAGTATCCATTAGGAACTTCAAATACCAAATTTGAAATGATTCCGGTAAATAATGTCGCTAAAATCATCAAAATACCGAATATCGGGGGTACCGTTATATGGGGGCTATACGAAGACGTGGACCTACATAGCCCATTTTCTGTTTTATGCTGCAGTATCCATTACGAACTTCAAATGCCAAATTTGAAACAATTCCGGTGAATAATGTCGCTAAAATCATCAAAATACCGAATATCGGGAGGTACCGTTATATGGGGGCTATATGATAAATTGGACCTACATGGCCCATTTACGAACTTAACCTGCCTACTGGAAAAATATACATGTGTGCAAAATTTTATCCTTCAATTCAATTCAATTTGTTCGAAAGATAGCGCGATTACATCAGACAGACAGACGGACAGACAGACAGACAGACACACAGACAGACAGACGGACATGGCTAAATCGTCTTAGAATTTTACGCTGATCAAGAATATATATACTTTGTTGGGTCTGACATGAGTATTTAGAGGAGTTACAAACGGAATGGCAAAATTAATATACCCTCCATAGTATGGTGGAGGGTATAAAAACATTAAGTTCGGCCGGGCCAAACTTTTAATACCCTCCAACTTAGGGTAAAAGAAACATTAGAAGAAATGTGGCAAAAACCATTAAAATGCCGAATATCGGGAGGTACCGTTATATGGGGACTATACCAGAACGTGGACCGATATATCTACGTCAAATAATGTGGGCTGTATCGTGATTTCAACAGACAGACAGACGGACGGACATCGTTAAATATACTTAGAATTTTATGCTGATTATGAATATATATATACTTTATGGGGTCTAAGACGAATATTTAAGGATGTTACAAACGGAATGACAAAGTTAATATACCCTCCTTTCCAAATAAAAAAATAACATTTCTATTGCCTTATATTTTGTGGATGAGGTGGAGGAGTTTCTACTGCATATAATCAAATAGAGCCCGCATCTGTGTAGTAGATGATTTTTTCGTGCTGGAATTGAGGAAATAAAAATCATATTTGTTGTTGACGTATTATAATTGTATTTTTCTATTTTTAATCACATTTTGTGATCGCATGCGTGCGAAAGAAAAAAGGTAGTGGAACACAAAATTACACAGAAATGATTATGTTTCCGTTCGCTTTGATGTTCGTACAATTTTTCGTTCTGATGGGCTTCAATGGGACGAAAGCTAGCTTTTTATCATGTAGAAGGTGTGCAAACGTGTTTTTTCGATATCGGGGAACAGGCTGTAAAGGCATAAATTTGTTCGAATTGGTCTCCTTTAGCACGAATTATAGCCTTCAAACGACCAATGAAACCGTCACACGCTGCCCGAATGTTGCTCTGTAGTATTTTGGCCCATTCCCGGCTAAACTCTTTGATTATCGACCATTCATATTTGTTGATAGAAAAAAATACATTTACATTAATTTGCAGAATCATTGATTCTTTTAATAATCGGCGAAATTTTATCCGCTTTTGTTCAGAGTTGATAAGGGCAACTTTCATCATAACTATAAATAAATACGAATTTTAATATATATATTTTAATCATGAATGAAATAATGATTTTTTTCTTTGCAGTTGCAGAAATGATTTCAAACCCTTTTGAAACGCGCTCCGACAGCTTCTACTTTGTTGACAATCGACTTGTGATGCACAATAAAGCCGACTATGCGTACGATGGTGGAGTAAATGTATAAATATATTAACATATTGGCACTAGCAACAGCAGTACTTCGAAAGTCTTATTTTTAAATTTGCATCAATTACAACAATTGAACATTTTTCCAAGAAAGGAAGTTCAAAAAGTGGCAAGAACGTTTGATGAATTACCATTTCGAACACCCAGTTTTACCAGGAATTGATCAAAATACAGATGCTTGCAACGAAAGCATGTAAAATATTAATAGTTGCACTCACGTTCAATAAGTATAGCATTAACTGCTGATCAAAGAACACAACATTTCAATTTATATTTTTTTAAATGAGTGTCAATAAATTGCCTTAAGCTTATGTTGAATGTATATCATATGTTTTTATTCCAGGGTAAAGATTCTGTATTTGTTTGTAAAATGCAAAAGGAAACTAGAATAATTCGTTTTGGTGGTCTCTCCAGAATCACAGTGTGAGTCGTCTTAGCGATGTCAATATGTTTTATAACGCTATCTTTCGAACGAATAGATTCTTGCAGGTTCTGAAAAAGAGCAAATACTTGATATTTTATGTCAAATATTTACCCAATGTGAACTTAACTTAAGAAATTAATCCTTCAAAAGTTCAACATTTATACATTTTAATAGTCGTAATTTTCCATATTAAATGTTAACAACACATTCCAAAAACGCTTTTTGACTGGCTTAAGTCTTCGGTTGGCTTTAGGTGACTACGTTCAATTTTGGTCCATAATTTGAACTTTTTACCCCTACGCTCCTTTGTTTTTTATGGAGATACCAGCCGATGACTTAAGCCAATCAAAAAGCCATTTTTGTATTCTTACTTTCTATGTATTTGCACAAGTATTTTGTTATTTGTTGTGTTACAAGGACAGCCCATGAAGCGGCGCTTTAAGTTTTTCTTAAGAATACATAGAAAGTTTTTTGACTGGGTTAAGCCATCGGCTTGCTTCTTTGAAAAAAGAACAAAATAGTTTAGAATGACTTAGTTAAATTTCGAATGGTAATTTATACTTGTTTAAAAGGTGGCACTCACCAAACACAGAATGTTTTCTGGAAAAGCAACACACACGAAGTTTCAAAACAGTAGTTTTTGTTATTACTTTATAATTTTCCTTATGTAATCATACCTGAACTGTTCATGTTTTAATTTTATACCGACATACGCTAATACAGGTTCGCACACAGTTACAGGTGATAATTAATTAATTAATTTTTAAATTGCAAAGTGTCAAATACCAAATCAAAAAGATTAGCTAAAAATGAAACTAAAATACAAATACTCGAAGTGATAAAAGTTATAATCAGCCTATTCCAGCAGTCTTCTATCACAGATGACAGAGCCCATATAAACTCTACATACCGAATTGCTCTGAAAAATGTGGATAAAATCAGAAGAATACCAAATACAGGGAATTGATAGAACATGGGGGCTTTAGCAAAATGTGAACTTATATAGGCAATGATCTGCCGCAAGAAGTAGAACACATTACGAATTCTAAGTACCGAATTTCGGGGGAGGTACAGTTATATTGGGCCGGAAGAAAATGTGGAATAAAAACCTATGTATTCAATGTTCTGCCACAGAAGGTATAGCCAGTTACATACTCTAAGAACGAATATTAAACAATTTCGTTTGAAAATCTGGCTTAAATTGTGTGGAGGTACAGTTATATGGGGGCTATAAGAAAAGGTGGACCTATATAGATAACTAGTTGAACCCGGGGTGCTTCGCTACACCTTTGGATTTTAAACATTTAGTCCGCATACTCGAATGTTTTGTCCTTCGGATTTATTAATTTCATAGCAAATGCCAATCCTGCAGAAACTGCAATCTTTTGAAGTTGAGTGGCATTTCTGTTGCAATTAGAGATTTGAGATATCAACATACCTCCCGAAAAAATATATGGAAATATATCCAAACCTGCACTGATTTCAATGTAATTTGAAAAATTTATTTTTGTAGCAAATTTCATGAAGTCAGCCGAATTATATATGGGAGGTATTCCAAATATCAACGGATTTCAATATCATTTGACATTTTTATAATTGTGCCAAATTCCGTCACTCATTCCGAATTTCATTGGAATCAGACATGCATATCGAGTTTGGTGTATCAGATATATGAAACCGGTCGAACATATATATCGGAGCTGTATCCAAATATCAAAGGATTTCAACATTATTTGACATTTCTATAATTGTGCCAAATTCAGTCACTCATTCCGAATTTCATTGGAATCGGAGGTACATACCGTTTTCTCTTCTGAATCCCGTTGACTTAGTGCCCGATCCGCCCGATATCCGTCCAGTGTTTCCATATGCTACAGCTTTTTGCTGAAGAACTTCACCGTTCTTCCTACCAATGGAGTCTTTTTTTACGTGATATCCTGGTAGCCTTCATCACAACTATTTAGATTGAATGTTCAGATGATTCTGGCTCTTTAAGCTTACTGCTTTTTTTGAGGAAGTAGTTTCTTCCTTTAACCAATAAGTGTTTCAAATTCCTTTCCACTGGTGGGGGAAATTTGAAATTTATCAGTGAACTTGATCCTTATCAGAATCACGTCCATTTCCATCACTTTGGCTAAAACTTTCGGCGAAATGTTTTCTCATTCTAGACGGATATTGTCTTTAAGAGCTTAAATAGTCTGACGCCTGTTGACATAAACCCGCGACTTCAAAAAGCCCCACAAAAAAGTTTGGATCGGTCAAATCGGGCGATCTTGCTGGCCAGTGAAAATCACCAAAAACGGGGATTAGGTGCCCGGGAAATGCATCGTTCAGCATATCGATTGTGATACGTGTAGTGTGTACCGTTGCACCTGTCCTCTTGGAACCACATGTTTTCCAATAACAACTCATCAAGTTGCGGCAAAAAGAAGTAGTTGATAATTGCTTTGTAGCTTCCACCATTTACAGTAACCGTGACCATACAGTGACTTTGAGCGGCTGTAATTGCTCTACGTGGGTTACACGCGGATTTTCAGTGCCCCAGAAGCGTACATTTTGCTTATATACTTCTTCTTGGTGGTGATTAAGGATGGCTTGAGCGGATGTTAGACGGCATTGGCAGTCAACAGCTAACAGCTGATGCACCATCTGGACTTTGTGCGGAAACATCTTCAAATCTAGTACCAAAGTCGCTGTAAAGACCGTCGGCTGATACCCATTTGCGAGGCACGTCGTCTGGTCGATGTCGACGGGGCTTCTATGACATCCTAGACTACAGCAGCAATATTATCTGCAGAACGGATACTCCGAGATTTGTCACGCCTGGCTGCATCTTTTGTTGTGGACGGTCAGGAAATCTGCGACGAAATTTATTAACGTGTATTTCGCACGTGTTTACTACAAAAATGTCAAAACATAACAGACATTAGGGGCCAATCGTAAAATTTATAACATTTTCTGGAGGATTACTTAAACGCCATCTTGTATTTCTTGCGTGAACATTAGGCGCCCACCATGCAACAGTATGGTAACTCAAGACGATAAATGTGTATTGTAAGATGTATGTAGTGCTTTATAACAAAATAGTAGGCGACGTGTCGTTTTGTTAGAAATTCAAAATATTTTTCATTAAAATTCATGTCTTCCAAAATTCGGAATTTTACTAAGTTATACTAATTATGGCAAATTCGACAAACATGGGTTAAGATGCTCCTCCAAAATCTTATTTAATATCATGCAGCAAAGCATGATAGGCGCAACTTTTGGCGCCATTGCATCAAGCGGTTGGTGACATTTGCCCAGACAACGCGTACAATCTCGATGAGACTGCAACGTCATCTCTAAAAACTCTTTGCAAATGCTCAGCGAGTGTCTGCACACACAAAAACGACATTTATATTAATTAAGGGTGTGGGCCAGTAGAAGTCGCAATGGATTCCGACTTGTTATAAACAAGTATTCGATTCGATGAACCCGCAGAAATGAATTCAATGATCAAATGTCAAATTAACCCACAGTTGTGGATTCCGACTTGTTATAAACAAGCATTCGACCCGATGAACCCGCAGAAATGAATGCAAAGTGCAAATGCCAGTCATTCTGGCCAGAGCGGTTGCCAATTCCTCCAAGGTAAGCCGTAAAGTGTTGGTTGAAACTTTTCACTCCAGCTTCCCAGAGTCCACCAAGATGTGGAACGCCTGCTCGAATGAAATATCAATTGAGACCCTGAGTTTCAAATACATTTCAAAGCGTTTGTTGCCAGCTAGAGTTCTTAAGGGCAATGTACTAAAAATAAAAATTAAATTCTTTAACCATTTCGCAATACTACATAATAATAAACGATTAGTTGACCAAGGTCCTGCTTGGTTTACACCTACATTAAGACGTCTACGCAATATTAAAAATATAATTTTTAAAATTTTTAAAAAATCTAACACTGCCGTAAATTGTTCAAAATATTCCTTGGCAAGAAATATATATAATTCGGAAAACTCCAAATGTTATTCTTATTTTTCCCAAATGCGGCAGAATTTATTAAAATCCTAAGAATTTCTTTAAATTTGTGAACTTTAAAAGGAGAGCTCAGAAATTTCCCTCCAGCATAAAACTTGGTAGTAAAGAGTCATCAGACAATCTTGAAATTGTAAATTTATTTGCTGACTTTTTTTAGTCTTCCTATACACAGGGCACATCTATAGGACCTTGCGAAATTTATACCACTACATTGAATCACTTTCCCAGCATTATTTTAACCGAAGACGAAGTCTTAAAGGGTTTAAAGACATTACGCTCCTCATTTTCCCCTGGCCCTGACGGTGCTCCAACCTTTATTTTAAAATCTTGTGCTAATGAATTATACTCACCTTTGACTAAAATATTAAATTACTCCTTGAAAATAGGTTATTTTCCAAGCTTCTGTACGAATGTATTCTGTGGGGTCCTCTTTATAAATGCTATTCAGATGAAATCGAATCAGTTCAAGTTCAATTCCTTATTTTTTCTCTACGGGGCCTTAACTGGACCCGTCAGAATTACTTTCGCCTTACGAAAATCGTTTACTGTTAATTGATCTCCCAACACTTGAAAGGAGACCGTTTATGCTAAAAGCGTTATTTATCATCAAATTATCACACGGTTTGATTGATTCTAATTTCTTAACTGGCGAAATTACTTATAATATACCGTCTCGTAGAACTCGTCACTTCGAACCATTAAAATTATCTCTCGCAAAAATTAATGAAGCAATTAGTAACCCATTGAGATCCTTATGTGTAATCTACAATATTCTATGTAATAGCATTCGTTTAAGCAATTCGTTGGACTCAATTAAAAGATATATTCTCCACATGTGATTGTATATGTTCACTTACCTATTTTTTATTTTAAAGAGCTCATTT